TTGTTCCTGTAAGGAGCTGAAAGCAACTTGATATCCTAATGTTTTCCTGAAAAGGAATAAAAACATCTCCTACATTACTCTAACCAGCCTCAGGGGCCTGGGTAACTTCACTCATGACCTTTCTTTCCTTTTTGTGGGTGGGGGAGGCAGGGGATCTTCGAAGGTGCTCAGTGGGTATCACTGTTCTGTTCCACAGCACAGTGTGGGAGGCCACAGTGGTGAGGCATGTGCTGCTGCTCTTCTTTTTCAAAAAAAGTCGTATTGGGGGAATTTTTTTTTACAGCTTGCTCCCTCCTGCTAAGGAGAGGGGATTTTCTTCACTTTGTGGATGCATGATTTAAGAGGCACTCTAATGTTCTTCATGGCTTGAAGATCTAGTGGGGAGCTATGACTTTAGTCCTTCCAAAATGCCAGAAAAACTAATTTATTGCAAGTATGAGTATCCTGGGGCTCACAGCATGTAAAACTAACCAGACTAAGAAAAATACGAGAGCAGAAGGAGGAGGAAGGAAATTCACATTTCAGGTAATGATCTGAAAGGTCATTCAAGGAGGGAATGGATCCGTGGAAGTATAAAATTTTTGTGTTAAATTGTGTCACACATACAAGAACAACAGTCTAACAGGTACATGGGGATTTCTTTTGCCTGGATATTAATACATATTTACCTTATGGTTGCTACAGCCTTTAGCTAGCAGAGCGGAAGCCTCTCCACATAAAACGGGGAGGGGGCTGGGGAAGATGCTTCCTTACAGCTTTATTAAACTCTGAATTATATCAAAGACTACTCAGTTGGAACCCAAGCCAAGGCCTATGGACAGGGTTGATGTTATGGTTTCTGGCAATTCTAGATGGGACTGAAACGCACTTGAACATAAAACAAAGACACAAACCAGCAGAGTGTTTGGCTGGTGTGTTTGTATAAAGTAAACATGTTTGAATTTATCTTGAAAAACATCCTGGTGCCAGCAGCCATCCTAAAGATCACTTGCCTCTCTCTCAGCAAGGCTTATGTAGAAAAAAGGAATTTTTTTCCTGGTGGCTTGTTGACAGTAAATTTTTATTATTGTAATTATTATTATTTTTTAAAAACTAAGGAATATGTTACAGGGTGATATTTAGCAAGTTGAATGTTTTGATGTAGGAAACCTAATAGTTACTGCAGGTCTTTTGTGCTAACTGCTAAGCAAATTCCTCTCCTGCATGGACTGTTGCTGTGTTTTCAGTCTCCACTGAATTATGAGGGGAGGGGAGGGGGAAGAAAACAGATTTTTTTTTTTTTTAAGGCTATGAAATATTTATTTCTCATCTTCCAGCTGAGAATATGCAAGTTCTTTACTAGTGTCTTAATGACCCACATCTGTGATATATGAAGTCTTGTCCCTGTTTTACTTGTGGGAAGATGGAAATGTGGACCACTGAGGTGTTTTGCCCATGAGGACGGGGAGCACATTAGGGTGAGCAGCTGCTGAAGTACAACAACCGAGGCGTAGCTGAATATTGGAGGCTGGCAGGATGACTACGCATCTGCCTTCAGGAAGGGGGCCACACCATCCGCGTGATGGAGTGAAGCTGGGCATCTGCCAGGCTTCGCATGGGTCTGATGCTGCCCTTGTTGAGCTTGGTGCTGGCTTGTGATTACTGACCAAACCAGCTGAATTAAAACTAGCTCATGTATCTGTGCATTATGTAGAGGAGCGTAAGCGTATCCTCGGTCCTGCGATTCGCAGAGTCTGTAATGGAGGGAACAGTTGAGTAACAACAACGTCCTCTGCTCCACGCAGCACAGTATGTAAATATTCCTTTGGATTTTTGTTAATGCCCTAAAATTTACTGTTTCTCTCCTACTTTGATGTACGTGTGGTTCTTTCATAAGTGTGGGTTTTATCCCATTAGCAAAACCATTGCAGATTCCTGGTGATACCTCTCCCTATTCCAAAGTGCTTATTCGCAGTTGTTTAATAATGATCCTTTCGTGGTTGTGCACTGGTTATTTTTAGTCATCAAAAATGGCCATCATCAGGTTTTTAAAGCTTTTTACATTAGATTCTGTGTCGTTGAAACTTCCCTGTGGATTGGTTCTTGGGACCCATAATTGAGGTCCTGTACCTGTCATTTCAGTGGCTCCATGAGGGTGTCTGGCTGTCATCATAGCAGGGAAAAGGAGGTAGTGGGGTCACGGGGTATTCCTAGTTTTGCAATAAATTCTCAGCTTGACTTGAGGCTATTCATCATGTTAAGAAAAGGTTTTAGCTGTTCCCTTCAGAACACTGACACCAATTAAATTATCCATTCATCATTCCAACATTAAGGCTTTGTTAGAGCTGTGGTTCCAAGGGTTTGCTCCAGATGTCGGTGCTATGATGGTCCTCAAAACCAAGACTCATTTACACCTGCTGGCCTGGATTCTAGTAACCTGATGTGCTTTTGTTGATTTCAGCGTGTTCTTCTCTTACTGAAGGTGGGGTTCTCTTTGTGGCTTATTCACATTTAAATAAATCTGTGTGTAGGTGGTCATCTGGGCCTGTAGGTGACTGGTAGAGGACCAGTTATATCTTCTCCATCTGCCTCAGTGAGCTTGCCTGAGATAGGGGTGGACCTACCTGATGAAGCCAAGCAACTATTTGCCAAGCACCTGATGAATGGAATCGGTCCATGGAGTTGGTTTGCAGATGCTGCATGAGCCATCTGAGCTTACAAAAGCTGAGAAATCACAGCCTAGTGCCAAAGAGCTCTTGTGGCCAGAAGAACAGGTCCTTGCGCCATACCTCTGGGTAATCACTTCTTCTCCCCTGCAGACCTGTTTAGCAGCTGCTAGCCTGATTTCTGCTTTTTTTTCACTAAAGTGGCAGTCCAGCACCACACAGCATTGAACCTTGTGGGTAATGCTTTGGGTAATGCTTTGAGCTCCCGCAGTCGAACGGGACTTCTCTGGAAGGACTCTGCCTCCCAGAGGGTCAGCCCAGGGACGTGCCTTTTGCTCAAAGCTGAGTTTTTGACAGCGGGGCACGCTCTGCTGTGTATCAGCCAGCTTGCTGGCAGAAGGTAGCTGTGCCTTTCACTCCTCAGCTGGCTGTTGGTGTTTCACAGCACACGTTGTCCTTTATCCCTGTAAATGTCAGAGGGATGCGCCGCCAGGCTCCCGCACCATTGCTGTCGGTGGCAGGGCAGGCAGCTCGCTGGTGGCTTTCCACAGACGCCGGCAACAGCAGCTTCTGTGTGGTGTCTTTTGGGAGGAGTGACCCATCAGGGCTTGTTGGTCTTTGGCTTATCTTGGGTGTTGACTCTTAGCAATTACTCCCAGCCATTGCCCTTCAGTCTCAGGGCTGTCAGTACGTTTCATGAACACATATGTACCCTTCAAACAAACCAAAGTAAAACTAGAATTGTTAAGGGAGCAATTATATGGCAACCCAGACCTTGTGCTCCATTGACCTGCTGCTCTTTTTTGAACCACTTGTGCTTTCCTGATAGCTCATGCATCCCTTTTAATGCCATTTTATATGGATTATTAGTGTGTGTTACTGACGCCGCGTGTAGTCTAATGAAGCAGCAACAGCCAAGGTGCAAAGTGTCTCCTGTGGATTAATGAGGTCTTGAAAGAAGGTGACTGCCCACTGTGAAAAGAAAGACTATCAAGTTGAATCACTTATTTATCACCTAGATATGACTCTTACTAGTACCATTCTTGATACGAGAGAAAAAAATCAAGCGCATGAAATTGCGAGAGGATCGTATTTGTTTGAGGGGAGCCATATTTAAATCTGACAGTTTTTTTAAAATGATCATACATTGGCAGATATTTAGGAAACGGTTAAATTGTTCGAACTAATGGCCAACGCTTCAAGACCCATATAAACTAGTGCTAGTGCATCTGTAGTTTTAGACTAGCCTATCAATAGTTACTTTCCTGATTGCTGAAATTTTACTTTCCTAGTCTTTGGAACTTTTTTTGTAGTTGTTTTTTTTTTTTTTGCTATAGAGTTGGAGAGTCTCAGCTTGGTTTTGATTGTGGTTTTATATCTCTGCATCACACTATAAATAACTAATAGTGGTTAGAGACCATCTTTTGAAAAAGCGTTTGATTTTTGTTCTTGAGAGACGATCTGTGCCTTAAAGCTGTAGCTGAGGAATCTCACTATCTCCGTTATTAGGGCTTCATTTTTTAGATAGTGGAAAAGTGTTTCAATTCTTTCTGGTAATGTAATAGTTTGAGGTAGCTGGAGCTTTCTGTATGCTATAGATTTTATCTTTTTACCATTTAATAGTCTGACCCCATTCAGAAAACATTTCAGACTGCATATCGTTTATATTATTAATGGCGGTATTGATTTATAAGATCAACTTTAAAAAAGGACTCGCTGTTTTACAAGAAAACCATCAAAAGGATTAATGTGCTTTCTCTTTGTACATCTACTCTTCTATCCATTGAAAACGATGATCAAGTCAATGGCATTGGATTATCATCCTTGCTCTAAGGAACCGTGTATAATTACATATCCTGATAAAGACATGTTCTTTTTATTTTGGGGAATAGATACACTGATGTTGCATTACCTGCAGATGTGGAATGATTACTCCCTGATGTTAATGTAGAGATTGCCTATGGCTAGGCAATAAAAGCACGCTTTGTTTGCTTTTTTTTTTTTTTCTTAATCTGCATGCGGAATAGATATAGGTGCTATAGGAGAATAAAGCAAAAACATAGGAGAGCCTCGTTGGTGTTTTTTGGAGCAGGGTGTTATTCTATTAAAGCTGCATGAAACAATATGAAGTGTTGATGTTTATGAGAAGCGTTGTTTATAAAAGTAAATATTTTCCCCACCCTTCTACCACCATGACTAAGATCCTTTACACTTTAAATTTTCTTTTCCTTCCTATAAACATTTCTTCCCCTCCTTTCTTTCCCCCACCCTGACATTATGTAGTTGATTTAATTCTCTAGATTGCTTTCCTCAAGCTCTAACTTGAGTTCATTTTGTTATGTGGTGACCACAGTTATGGATGACGCTCCCCCTGGCACACAGGAGTACATTATGTTACGGCAAGATTCGATCCAATCTGCGGAATTAAAGAAAAAAGAGTCCCCTTTTCGTGCTAAGTGTCACGAAATCTTCTGCTGCCCACTGAAGCAAGTGCACCTCAAAGAGAACACAGAGCCGGAAGGTTTGTGGCACTATGGATCCATGTTCTGTTTGTTTCTATTATTTTTATTTTTCCATGTATGTCCCTGGAGTGTGCTGTGTGTTTTCCAGCCTGTCTCAGTGTAGCGCAACCGATGCGGGGAGCGTGATGCACTCCATGTCCCCCTTTGCTTGCCTGTTAGTGTCTGATTCAGCCATCACGGGACACTATAATATAAGCCATGTACTAGACAAGAAGTGGCACTGCTTTTTCTTAAATAAAGTTTGTTTGTTTCAGCTCTCATCATTACACACTGCCCTTTTTTTGGCTGCCAAAAGTTGCTTGCTACTTAAACGGCATCAATTCCTAGTTGGTTCTTTCCAGTAACATTTCTGAAGCTGCACTCTGCTGAAAATATGGCACTTAGACTCAGATTCAGCTTGTCTCCAACACCTTTCACTCCATAAGGCTTCCGCATAGCACTAGAGAATGCTCATGACAGCTGTACTTCAGCGAAGCAGGATGAAGTTTGTATGTAATGCACGCCTGGTTGCATTTTGGAAAATGAAATGCATGCAGAGCCGATAAAAATAAGTAGAATGTTTTCCTTTTCAGATAAAGCAAAGGTATGGTCTCTTCTAATGCTGTGTTTACTAATATGACATTACTAATGAGGTATCTATATCTCTACCTTGTTCATCTAGTGTACATAAGACTAAGCTATTTTAAATTTCTATTTTTTAATATTTTCTCTTATCGTTCCATATGTGTTTTGCATTACTGCCTCGTATTCCACATGGTAAGCCTTCTACTTTTTGCATAAGCTCCAGTATCTGCCAAGACAAATAATGCTGCTGCTGGTAGATGTATTTTAAGATGAAATATTCAGGGCTGGATTCTGCTACAATTGAGTCTGCAGGAATGGCAAAGTGAGCGGGTTGGAGCCCTTTCTCACAAATCACTTGTATTATTCTCTCTGTAATGATGGGCATCGGTTGCTGAGCTGTCACTATTAGCCCAAAATATTTCAGTCAATTGCTTTCTCCTGGTACATACCCCAGATTTTGCATGAATGTTCTTTGCACCACTTCTGGGAGGTCTGTGTCTTTTATTTAAAACGTATTGTACTAAAATAGCATTTTGTTCTCATCTCACCAGAAATACTGTCTGACACAAACACTGATGTAAGGTGTGGAGAGAGGTTTTTTGTTTCAGTGATGATATAACCGAATGTTAAAATTGGGTTTTGAAAACACGAAGCTTATTTCTCCTCTCAATTCCGAGGCTGACTTGATAGGAGTTGTGTTTTCGTAGTTCTGAACTCAATAAACATGAAGGAAAGGTGAATCCCGTAGCACTCTTCTGGATTAGCAAATATAATGAATTTCCTGTCATCTGTCAGGATTTGTGTTGTTCATGAGTAAATTATGAGCCCAGAACTGTTCGTGTCAAGCTCTTCCAGCAACACGATGACAGCTGAGCTGCCAGAGGTGCTTAGCATCCTTGGCAAGTGATATTGGTGAAATGAAAGGTTCCATGTGAGCCATAAAGAGAAGGGCCCTAAACTTGGCATCGTTGACTCACGTGCTGTATTTCACTTTTTCTTTGTGCTCATGTGGAACTC